TGAGCAAAAGAATTAAATTTGAATGGATCTGCAAATAAATATCAGAAATATTTTCAAGTATATATTCAATAATTGATTTGTTGATTTTAGGATGGTTCACATGGAATCAACTTGTTGAAGCATCAAAGAAAAAAACATACCAAGGAAGTCTATGTATCAAGAAATTGGCAAGTAAGAAGAAAGTAAATTGGAACAATATCAGGCTTGCCTTAATCTAAATGATACTTTTATTACATATTATTATTGATTTTTATATAAATGTCCTTTCCATTAGACTCAATTATTATTCAGTTTTGTGAGTAGAACTAGTGTCAATAAGGATATATTTTTGGTAGGTACATCACCTTGTTAAATGATTAAATGCCTTGTTGGCCATCGAATAAAACTGTACTATAGCTCTTTGTAATTTTTTTTAAAAATTTAAAAAATTTAAATGTATAATACACATTAAAAAAGCCGTTATAATTTATGATTGATTCTTTTTACTATAAAATCTTTAATAACACTATACTATTATAAAAATGAATATGATTATAAAAAAGCCATTATAATTTATGATTGATTCTTTTTACTATTAAATCTTTAATAATACTATTATAAAAAAAAATAAGTAAATATGATTATAAAACGGGTTTAAATTTGAAGAGAGTTATAACAAATTCTTAATTTATATTAAATTTATCTTTTAGGAGTTGATATACACATTGGAAACCAATGTTTGTCTTGGCGTGCAACATTTTTACGTATCCCAGCATCTTTCAATGATTTGGTTGTGGGTGTTTCTGGTTTGATGACTTTCAAGGTCTCCAAAACTGCGCTCTAAAATTTATGAATAAATTTATGAATTATATAAATGTAAAAACATATAATATATTCAACAAAAATTACAAACTCACTTTAAAATTAAGGACCACTGCTATAATGTTAAGAAGTGATGGGAAATTCTCCTCTTCATCTGGAATTTTGAATAATTCGCCACGATGAATTCTGGATATGTATCCTTTAGGGTTTTCCATATACATCACCGCCATTACTAATCCTATAAATTAAAAGTATTAGTCAAAAATGAATACATGATGAATTCATGCCCAAGGCAGTTCAAACACGGTAAAAACTTACCCGAATGGATTATACCAATCGTTTGTAATTTTCTACATTTATTTTCATCAAAGTTCACTTTTTCCATTAAGTTAGTTAACATATCTTTTAAGTTTTTGGGTAACTTAAGACTGTTCTCTTTTATATACTTGGTTCCTTTTTTATCACTCCAGAATTTTCCTGCTTCTCCAGCAGCAAATTCATTTTTTTCGCCTTTTCCTATGGATCTTAATATCCAATCGGTCCTATATCCCATCTTGCGTCTTGAACCAAGTTGTCTGTCGAAGTTTTTTCTTACGGCTGTTGAAATACTTGTACTTTCACCTCTTGGTTGTTAAAAAAAATCCATAAGATTCACGAATATCTCAAGTTCCACCAAAGTTAAATAATTTTTTTTGGAAAAGTTACCTCACTATATTTAAAGTTTTGACGTTGCCAAAAGCTTGATCAATTATTACCTCCCAAAGATGACAATCATACCATGCTTCTAGGTTTTCAATTTTTAGCTTTCCGCTTTCTATCTCCCTGACACTGTAAATCATTTGATCGATCATTAGTGAATGTTAAAGTACCTACAATCCAAAGACATCACATTATATGTATAAACAATAAAAAGAAACACTTACCAAGCATGGATTGCAAGACAGATGTAATCAATATCATGATTTCTAGTTTCAAAACCAATTTCTTTTAGTGTGGATCTAATTTCATCCGAATTTGTCTAAAAACATGAAAAAATGTTAATTATACATATTATATTTACTATTATAAGCAAGTGAGATGTTACCTTATTGAGAAATTTTTCTAAACAAGTGATGATTTCTTCTGGTATATCTGGTATATCAGGTATATTCACGGATTCCAACTCTTTCAATTCTTCATTAGTAAAATGATTTATTATTAAATCGTCATCAATATCCAAGATGAAAGAATGTATAGCACTATCGTATAAAAATTTAGTTTAGTACAATAATGCTTTTTTTTGTGATATAATCAATTATAAACTTAGAAAATAAAAGGTTGTTGCATGAATATATACTTTTCAAAATTAAGCTTCTTTCCTAGATTGAACAACTCTTCTTCAACAAATTTACCAGATGATAGCCTCTAGGGTTTGTATTCATGAATATCATAAGGGGGTCACACAGGGTCACACACTATTAAAATCAAGTGATCAACTCA